TCCTGGATATGAAAAATTAACTTTTAGGGGCCAGTAAGATAACTCAACAGACAAGGGCACTTGCTGCCAAGTCTGATGACCTGAGTTTGATCCCTGGAACCAACATGGTGGAAGGAGAGACCCAAGTCTCATAAGTTGTCCTCTGACCTGCACACGTGCATTGTGACACACACACACCCATATACATATACATATATGTGAGGAAATACGAGAAAGAAACTACGCATATGAAAACTGTCTGTGACTAGTGTGGAAACAGTATACAGTATACCAAAAGAAAAATGTTAGGATCTCAAGAGAGAAAAATGAGCACGCTCAGACTTAGGAACGCATTCATTCATCAGATACTTAATGAGCACTGCTATGGACTTGCTGAGAAGTAGTAGATACAAAGTAGTGTGAGATAGGCATGCTCCCTAGCTTTGTGGAGTAAACCAATGTTGAATTCTAATTTGTTACAAATGATTGAATAAGGCTGTTTAACAGTGTTTAATTGGGGCATTTAACCTTCTTTAAGCAGTTAGGTGGGATTCAAGAAGATTAAGTACTAAGTATCTAATACTGCTGAAATTCTTATAAAGTAGTTGCTATTATTACTCCTGTTCACAGATGAAGGAGCTAGCAGAACCAGCATTTGGTCCTAGGTGCTCTGACACTAGGGTGCTTGCTCTTACCATTGCAGTGGGGGAGGGGCTGAGACTAAGAGAGAAAGCCAAAGAAGGTTCAGCTCGAGGCCATGCTAGAGGTTCAGGACTTTAGCTTAATAGTAAGAAGTTTCAGATAGTTGGGGGAGAGATGTCTACATTATTTTGTGGCAATATTTTTCCATTATTTTATGTGTATGAGCATTTTGCTTGCATGTATGTGAATGCACCATGTGTACAGTGCCCACAGAGGCCAGAAGAGGGTGTTGGTTCCCCTGGAACTGAGTTATAGACTCCATGTTGTAAGCTGCTATGTGGGTACTGGGAACTGAACCCAGGTCCTCTGTAAGACCAGCCAGTGCTCTTAACTGTTGAACCATCTCTCCAGCCCTATTTTGTGGGAATCTTAACAGAGGACAAAGCATATGGTTTAGAAAAGGTTCAAAGAGACAGGAGCAAAACACAGAAAACAATGAGATGAACAATACTTAGCTGGTCCTGGCATACCTGAAATGCAGCTCAGGGCCTGGCAGTGCTTTATCCATCTTGGCATAAATATTATGTAGGCCTCAATGAATATTCTGAACAATGATAACCTTCCTCTGCCATTGTTTTGCCTGTCCTGTTTTATCGCAACAACAGCCCTACAAAGGTATTCTTATCTGCTTCCTACTATGAAGAGATTTAAGCCTGGAAAATTATTTCAGTAACCTCAAAGATCACCTAGATAGCAACTAATAGAACCACATTAGAATCCAAGTCCCTGACTCCAAAAGCCTGCTCTGCCTTCTTTACCAGGCTATAAGAGTTAGGCACGTCTGGCAAGGGAGATTGATATTAGGAACTTGAAGCTCCATACGAATGTGAATGCTATGAAAACACAGCTAATTAAAAAATTCTCAAACAGCAATGGAGGAATGCTCTGGGGAGCTAGTTAAAATGTAGATTCTTGAGCTCTGTCGACTCTTAATTCAGTTGGTCTCCGATGGTACCCAAGAATCAAATGTGCAGTTTAATAAACAACTCAGGTGATTTTGATTCAGCTGGTTCTCAGACCCCACTTCAAAAAACATTCCAGCTGCTTCAAAAGTATGAAACCAACCTTCTGGTTCTGGTAAAATCCATCTTGAATATAAGACAACTTTGGAGGTTTGGGAAATGTTGGAGGATCACAGATAAAAGGGAATTTTTTGAGATAGCTAAGCAAATGTTCCTGTTTTCAAGGAACTGGAATGACTGATAAGCTAGACCTTAGAGAAGTCAGTCATTGAAAGTAACTGTTAAAGCAAGAGAAAGGCAGAAAAATGGAAGCTGTATAAATGAAACAAGTGTCTGAAGCACAGTGGCTGGTCTCTACCCCCTCTCTTATCTGGGTTACTCCTATCTGCTCTTCACCTAGCAAACCCTGCTGGACCGTCACCATTCCATTCTCCTAAGACCCTGGACGAGGTCAGGTTACTTTGTTACTTGCTATCATGCAACCACATTCTTATCCTTGGCGTGCTTATTCAATTTGTAATGATGTAATAGCCAGAGTGACCATTTGATCAGCATTTTTGTGAGCTGTAGGTAAATTGATCTGATGAGAGTACAGGCTTGGGAGGTGGAAAACCTTCTAGGTGGGTGTGTCAGAAAGACTGCTAACCTGAATAAAATCAAAGCCTGTTACAGTTACCACTGCTGGCAAATGAAATGTTTCTTCCTGTCAGAATATAGCTGCGACAGTATATGTATGGACAGGGGACAATAAATATCATGTCCCTGGTCAACTTTGACAGGATTTAGGTAGTAAAAGAACAGAACATGGGCAAGGGAACCGAGACTTGTAAGAACACTGTGGAAAATGATCACCTCTGAGGCCGTGAGGGAAGGGAACAAAAGCATTGACAGCTGACGGGTGTGAGTGGAGATTGTGACCCTCAGAGACTTGATTTGAGGTATTTGTCTCAGAGACTTCCATTTCATATCTGTCTAGTGTTACCTCCTAAGACTTATTGGGTCTTATATTTGAATCACTTTGCCAAGTACAGGGTTACAAAAACAGGATAAGGCACAACTCGTACCCTTGGAGCTTATGGTTTATAGGAGAAACCCACATAAACATTTGTGGAAACATAATGTAGGAAGTTCACTTCATCTATGTGGAATTCTATGTTGGAGAATGGATATAAAGAGTTGAGAATAAACTTTAAAAAAATTTCTCTATTGAGGCTGGAGAAATGCCTCAGCGGTTAAGAACACTGGCTGTTCTTGCAGAAGACCCGGGTTCGAATCCCAGCACCCACATGGCAGCTAACAACTGTCCATGACTCTAGTTCCAGGTGATCCGACAGCCTTTTCTGTCCTCCACGGGCATAGCAGGACACGGGTGCACTTACCTACATGCAGGCAATACATACATGAACATAAAATAAAAATAATAAAATATTTTTTAAAGCTTTATTGAGCTTTTGTACATTTCATGCTACAGTTCTTAATCAAATTTAGGCCCCCCCTCCCCCATCCATACTCCCAACCCTCTCCATCAGACATCATATATTCCACTATACATGTTAAGTCAAGGATTTGTACCCAGAATGGGCTTTTTGAGAACACTGCATGATAGCCAGAGTGGGCTTCACCTCTGCTGCCTTGCTTCCCACTCCAAGTGTGAGCTCTTCGAGCAGGTTGCACAGAATGTGTGTATACTGGGAACTCACTCTCCTCTCTTCCCCTAGGTGGAAGAAGCTGGGCAGGTGTTTCTGTTAATGAAAAAAGATTATAGAATCTCCCGAAATGTTCGCCTGGCTTGGTTCCTTAATCATCTGCATCAAACTGTGCAGGCCACACCCCAGGAGTTGCTGGTGAGTCCTAGTGACATGTGGGAGGTGAGGAGCTGGCCCAGAAGGACCTATATTTTAGGGCTCTAAGGCTTGAAAGAGTAAGTGACTATGCCCACAGTGCTTCCCTAAGGGAAATTTATTAATAATTTTTCTAGATAGTGAGGCAAAAAGTACATGGTTGGTTTATGGAAAGTGGAGAGGGGGTGTCATTTTGGATATAGAGGCAGGTCCAGAGAGCACTTCAGTTGCCAAGATTTCCCTTGAGCCACATAATAGCACTTTAGATTAGTGTTAGTATTCTTTCCATTTTACAAATGTGGACACGGAGGCTTAAAGAGGTTAAGAGCTTTTTCTACAGTCTCACTAAATGGCTGAATTGAGATTCAGAGAAGAAAGTGAACTCTTCTTGATCCTTTTCTCCTTTTTTTAATGTGTATATGTCTGTGAATATATGCCATGATGTGTGCATCAGTGCCCATCGAGGCCAGAGGAGGGTGTCATATCCCCTGGAACTAGCATTATAGGCAATTGTGAGCTTCCTGACATGGGCACTGGGAACTGAACTTGGGTCCTCTGTGAGAGCAGCAAGCAGTCTTAACCACCGAGCCATCTCTCCAGCCCATGACTGTTTTCTTTTTCTTTTATCTTGCTAGCTTCAGTCTGAGCAGGAGTTGGAAGTCCTCAGTGTCCTGCCTCCTGGATGGCAACCAGATGAACCAGTGGTCCCAAGGCCATTCCTTCTTGTACCTTCTACCCGGGTCACCTTCCTGGCTTGGCAGTATCGTTTTGTTATTGAGCTGGACCTCAGCCCATCTACTGGCATTGTGGTAAGCAGTTGGAGGGAGATAGTAGGGAAACAAGGATGGGATACAGGTGTAAGAAGGAGAGAGGGGTCTGAGAAAGATGAAAAATGATGTTATGGGAAAAAGACAGGCCTGTGAAAGAATGGTAAACATTCAAAGACAGATCCATCTATCTGGGGCACTATTTGAGGACATGACCATCCATAAAGTAAGAGTCCTCTGACCCTTGGAAGTTGCTTGTTTTGTCCTCTGCTTATGCTGCTTTTTGTACCCTTGAGAGAGATCTCTCTGCATTGTCCTCAGGATGATTCCACGGGGGAGATCTTGTTTGATGAAGTTTTCCATGCCTTGTCCCGCTGCTTGGGCGGTCTGCTTCGGCCCTTCCGAGTGCCTGGATCCTGCATTGACTTCCAACCTGAGATCTACGTAACAATTCAGGCCTATTCTTCCATCATTGGCCTGCAGTCCCACCAGGTAGTGCATCTTCTCTCCAAGCTCCTATTTGCAGACCTAACTTCTGAAAGCCTACCTAGACAAAGTCTTTACCCTGTCTCTACTCTTTGTACCCAGGTTCTCGTTCTCTCTCTCTCTCTCTCTCTCTCTATCTCTATCTCTATCTCTATCTCTATCTCTCTCTCCCCCCCCATCTCTTGGCAGAGTCTCATATAGCCCAGGCTGACCTCAAGCTTTCAGTTTGACCAAAGATGGCTTTGACCTTCTGATCCTCCTGCTTCCACCTCCCAAGTGCTGAGATTACAGATGTGTGCCACCCAGGACTTTGTGCATGCTAGGCAAGCATAAGTCTCTCACCTTGAAAAGAATCAGTTCCTTGAAAGAGCTTTCCCATGATTAATTGGCATTGATTAGACAAATGCTTCCCTAGCCCCTCTCGTAGATCTTCTGGGGGTCTGGCCTTTAGCTATCTTCTTTGTCTCCCGTCACCAGCTCCATTAGTTCTGTGAAGCAATTTCTGTTGCATTGACTCCTGTCGGTAGCCCAGGACATGATCTTTTGGGATGGTTTTGTGGTACTGAGCTATTACGAATATTCAGAAACATAATTTCTTTTAAGCTGACAGAGGGTCATTTTCTGAAGGCCCTATGAACTGTTGGGTGTAAAGCTGACAACACAGGTAATTACAAGGCTTATCCGCCAGCAAAGCATGCTATCACAAGACACTCCTTTTGGAGAATGTCCAAGTCTGTTACTGAAATATCTGTTTTTGGCTTAGATAAGCATTGGCCCAGTTTCCCCTCATCTTTCCTAAACACCCTCAACACTCACTGAAACTATCCTTTATGGTTATAGTGTCACCTTAGCAGTCAAATTTTCTTTGCAAGATGGATACCAAGAATAATACCTAAAGGTCTGAAACATACACCACCACAGGTGGTACTTGCCAGGTTCCAAGGCAGGAACAGCCCGCCCTCTGCCTGAGTTTCAAGTGCTCTCCTTGTACAGCCGTTAGCCTGATGATAACAGGCCAGATTCCCAGACAGGCCAGGCTTTGCAGGCATCCATAGCCAAGACAGGGAGACAGATATTAGATAATCACTCAAACACAGTTCCTCTTGGTAAACACTGATCTGTGCCTGCCCAGGTTAAGTCCTAGGGATATAGTAAATAAATACTGTCCTTGTTCTGGTGTGAGCTGTTGAGAGCTTTGAAGGGGAGATAGGTATTAAAGGAGATAGTCCCAGTTGAATGTGTTAAGTGCATTGATAAGTTGTGACAGAAGTTCCATGAGAACACCAAGAAGGAACATCCAACCAAGCTAGGCAGAGCCACGTTTAAACAGTCTTTTTGAGATAGGATTTTGCTGTGTGCCCCTGGCTAGCCTGCCTGCCTCATCTTCCCAAGTGCCCAAATCACAGGCATGTGCCATTACACCTAGCATCCTCTCAACCCCTTACTGGGGTTCAACCCAGGGCCTTGTCCATGTTGATCAAGCTCTACCATTGAATTATATTCCCCAGCTCTCTTTTTATACTTTATATTTTGAGACAGAGTTTCATAAGTTGTCCATGCTGGATTTGAAGTCACTCTGTACCCCAGACAGGCCTTGTATCTACAATCCTGCCTCAGTCGTCTATATAGTTGGGAATATAAGCCTGCACCACTAGCCCTGACTTGTGAACTGAGTCATGAAGAAACAATTGAAGTTAGCTGTTCAAAGGAGAAGTGGGCTTTTCAGGTAGAGAAGTCAGCAATTAAAACAGTTACTCACAGGTAGTAAGGAGACAGTGAAAGTTTCAGTTTGTACAGAAGGAAAAACCACTTGTTTGTGGCCAGTGTAGAAGATAAATTGGGGATAAAGTTTCAGATGGGAGAACAGACAGAAGATTAGTGCAGCAGGGGAAGGATGAGGCCCAGAGCAGCGTAGCAGCCATAAGGGGAGAATCTGCTCTGGAGCTCCCTCAGGCTGTATCCTGCCTCTAAAAAAAGTTAAATCACGTTTATAATACATGTTAACTGGAAAGTGGAAGGTGGGTAAAAGAAAGGAGGTTTGAAAGCTACCTTAAGGTGTAAAGAGATAACAAACCTACCCATTATATAATACTCAAAGACATTGTTAATTCTATCTGGTCTAGTATGTTTTGTGGGTGTTGATACTCCCTTACCACATCCCTTCATCCAAAGAGAGGGGGAAAACCATCATGTGTATTGCTAATACATGGTTCGTGTTCTACAGCTTTATAATATGGGTATTGTTCCATTTCGAAAAATAGGATTTTTTTTTTTTTCTAATGTGTATGTGTGTATTGCCTGCATGCAGGTAAGTGCACCCATGTCGTGCAATGCCCGCAGAGGACAGTAGAAGCTGTCAAATCCCCTGGAACTGGAGTTACGGACAGTTGTTAGCTGCCGTGTGGGTGCTGGGATTCGAACCCAGGTCTTCTGCAAGAACAGTCAGTGTTCTTAACTGTTGAGCCATCTCTCCATCTCCCAAGGATTTTTTTTAGTAACAACTTTTTGGGGGGTGGGGAGATGTCTTTTGAGGCAGGGCCTGCCTCATAGCCCAGACTGGCCTAGTACTCATTATATAGCCCAGGCTGGCCTCAAACTCATGAGCATCCCACCTTACCTGCTGGGATTACTGGGGTGCACCACTGTTCTCAGCTTTGACAACTTACTATTTCTCCTCAGTCCTTTTTTCAAAAGATTTATAAATTAAAATTTTAATAATGAAGATTTATTTTTAAGTTTTATGTGTATATATGTATGCCTGTGTGAGTTTTTATGCACCATGTGTCCATGTGCCCACAGAGGATCCCCTGGAACTGGAATTGCAGGTGACCGTGAGCTACCTGATACGGGTGTGGGAACTAAACCAGGGTCCTCTGCAAGAACAGCCAATGTGCTTAACCACTGAGTCATCTCCCCAGCCCCAAGAGGAATCCTTTGGCACCTCAAAGAGCAAGAGCACAGATAGTGCAGTAGCCTTCAAGAACTTTTCAGAGGAGAAGAGCATAGTAGCTCCTCTGGGTTAGGGTTAGTGGAGAGTGCTAGTAGCTGACCTCCTTTCTCTCTGAAAAAGGATGGGAATTATCTGCCAAAGGTAAAAGGAAGGACAGAGCATTCACTGGGGGAATAAGATGATTCTGAGCTTAAGAACAGAGAAAAGGTCCCGAATAGCCTTGATGCACGTAGTCTATTTAGAAATAAAAAGGAATGGAAGAGTAAGAATGAGAAAGGCTTTGCTAGGCAGAGGTGCGGTAGTTTACAGACACTATCCTCTAGCCCAGTGTGGAAGGTCCTAGAAGATCTCATGGCTGCCTTATGAGGGATGTAGGAGACGCCCAGGGTGGAGGACTGTAGACAGAGAAGTTGAAATTCCAGGTTAAGGTGAGCAATGACTTGGGCTCATGAGCAGGATTACAGTGTTTCTAGGCTGAGGACTTCTGGAGTAGACAATCTGAGAAGTGGATGTGCAGTTAGACCTCAGGTCCCAGTTGAATGAAAGTTGTGATTCCCTGGAGGAAGCTGTAGAGAACAGAGCAGAGGTGTAGGATCCGATGCCTGCCCATCTGTCTTAGCCTTTCTCTTGTGCTTCTCAGGTGCTGGTGCAAGGTTGCCTTTTGGACCCTTCTCAACAGGAGGCTTTCCTGAAGCAGGTGTATGAGCAGCTCTGCCTCTTTGAGGATAAAGTGGCCACCATGCTGCAGCAGCAGTATGAACCCCAGAGCCAGGTATGTGGGAAAGTGGGCAGGGGCCACTTGGAAAACAGCTAAGGGCAGAGGACAAAGAGGAAAATAAGTCCACCAGAGAGGAAACAGTAAGAAAAGGGCTACAAGTTGGGGCCAAAGTGAGCCAAGGATAGATGTGCTAGTGAACATTTAAGATAGGCCCTCTGCTGTACAATAACTGCTCAGATACATTCTCCAAACCATAGGTTCATGCTGGGAGAAAGTGTGAAAGCCATTTGCCTGTGTTTTTTCAATCCTGGATCTGAGTGATCATGAGTGGCTTTGATCTCTACTTAGCATTCTGCAGTCAAGATAAAGCTGCTTTGGCTCAGGGAATGCCCTGTCTCATTACTTTGGAGACTGTAGAAGTGACCATTAAAATAGTGTCTGATGACTGCTATATATTTGATTGGTCTTGAAACACCTCAGAACAGTGATGAGGAAATATGGAAAGGGACATTTCTTGACAGAAGGTAGAGACACTGCCTCAGTACAGCCTGACACTTTATCTAGTGTTGGGACCCCTTCTCATCTGAGAGTCGGCAATGTGAGCACGTGTCGGGCCCAAGCACGCTGCAGGATTCAGCTGCTGAGTAGGGAGCTTGGCTTACATAGGATTGGGCCTGTTTGACCTGGGAAGTGCTGGGCTTCCAATTTGAGGGCTAGGGGTATAGCTCCAGGCAAAACATGTGCCTAGCATGTGTGAGGCCCTGGGTTCAATCCCTAGCACTACACAAAAGATAGGAAAAACCTGGTTTTGCTGTAGATAGGGCGGCAATGCCGGCTGTCACATTTCTTCTTTTCTATAATTTTGAGTCAGGCAGAAGAACAATCCCCAGAATCAGGGGAGTCCTTGGGCCGGAAGATAGGAGTCTCCATGGTGACAGCTGATCTTGGGTTGGTCAGTATGATTCGTCAAGGCATCTTAGCACTGCAGTTGCTGCCCTCAAATTCTAGTGCAGGTCAGTAGAAGGAATATTGGTGGAAATGGGGAAATGGATTCAGAAAGGGTAGAGGATTATTAGCAAAGATCAGGGTTCTCCTGGACTAATGAGCCCCAGGGAAGAGGCTCTGTTTCCTTGTTTGCAAATCCAAGTCTGTACTAATGCATATCGTAAGTACATTCAGCACTAACAACCATCAGGGACCCTAATGGGAAGGAGTGAAGAGCCAGGGACATCCCCTCTGAGACACGGGGTGTAGTAGCACCTAAAGGGAGAAGCAGGAGGAAGGGGAGGAAGAAAGGTGTTGGGGGTTTATAAAGTGTAGTGGTGCATAAACAGTGAGGTCTTTAGGTCGTTGTCACTGGGCACCTCCCTGTGACTTTGGTGTAGCCAGACTCTCCAGGTCTTCCTTTTATTTCCTGCCTCAGGTATCATCGTGATTACAGATGGCGTAACCAGTGTCCCTGATGTTGCTGTCTGCGAGACTCTACTGAACCAGCTCCGCAGTGGCACTGTGGCTTGTTCCTTTGTGCAGGTGAGGATATCCTAGGAAGGAAGAGAGGGAAGTAGGTATCACGAGAAGTCAAGTTACTTTTTTTTTTTTCAGTCTCTTTGAGACGGGGTGTCCCTGTAGCCCCAGCTTTCCTGGAACTCACTATGTAGACCAGGCTGGCCTTGAATTCAGAGATCCGCCTGCCTCTGCCTCTGGAGTGCTGGGATTTAAGGCGTGTGCTACCATGCCCGGCTTAGGTTACTTTCTTACAGGCAAAATCTCCCAAATGAAGATGATGACATGGTTTCCCAGGGAGAAGGTACCAGGTCTAGAGTAGGGTAGGTGACACTGATGGGAGGACTCTCATCTTGGTCAATTTTCCCCAGGATTTGTCCCCTTTCCATAGCAAATTACAGGGGAAAGAATGGAAACTTTGAAACCCTAGTCAGGTCCAGTCCCATCTGCCCACTAGGTTAGTTATTACTACCTTGATTATAAGGGTCAGAAAACCCAGCTCAGACTAGTTTAACCTAAGTATAAAGGGAAGGGACATTCAGGACACTGCTGCTAATATGGATGAAAGGACCCCAGGGTAGGAAGCAAGGCCTAGCAAGGCCTTGGTATGGCAGGCATAGCCAAGACATGGAAAACTGATTCTGTCATGTTAAGAAATTTGATTCAGTGGGTGATCCAGACATGTAGAAGGCAAGTTGGGCTTCTGTTTTATAAAGGTCATTTTTATTGCTGGGCGAAGAGCAGGAGTAGAAGCAGGGAGGCAGTTGGTTGCAGTGGTCCAGGTAAGAGAATCAAGACTTAAATTTGTGAAACTCGTGATAAGAGGATTGGGGAAATGAAGAGATAATACAAGTACGATTGAGGAAGCCTGGTGTGGTGGTAGATTCCTGTAATCCCAGCATTCAGGAGGCTGAGGCAGGATGAGCTCAAGTTCCAGGCTAGCCAGGGCTAAATAGTGAGACTCTTGTCTTACATAAAATAGAACGTATGATTAGCACATCGAGAGTGGGGAGAGAAAAAGGAGTTAAAGATGTCCCTAAGTGTTTGATGATGACTGGTGGCAGGCAGAGCAGGCAAGAAGGAATGAAGACAAGACAGCTGTGGACTCCTGCATGTTGTGTTCGCAGTGCCTGTGCTTCACCACCCCATCTTTGGAGTTAAGCTGCCTGGTCTGAACCCGGGCACTACTTATTAGCTTTGTGACATTGGGCACTTCATCTCTAGGCCAGATTCATTTGTCAAAGGAGACTGTAGGAGTACCTGTCTAATTGGGTGAGATGATGCCTTTAAATACATAGCATGTGCATAATTGGGTAATAATGGCTGGTGTTCACAGCAGTTGGCAGTTGAATACACAGATTCTGATATTCAGGAAATAGCAGTCATTGAAAGGTGGAGATTTTGAATTTGTCAGGCTACAGATGGTAATGAGACTAGAGAGGAGGGGAACACCAGCAAGGAGTGAAGGGCACTAATCTGGAGATTGTGATGTCAGAGAAGTCAGAAGTTTTGGAAGGAAGAAGTATTCAATTAGTAAGATGCAGCAGAACGATCCAGTAGGATGAGGGATGATATCACCTTTGGATTTGGTGCTTAGGGAGTGATGGGGACATTTTTTTAGAACCATTTCAGCAAAGAGATGGGGAAGGAAAATTGCTATGGATTATGGAGTGGACAGAAGAAAGAAGTGGAGATAAATGTTGGTACAAGAAGTTGGGCTGTTCGAGTCCAAAGAGGAACCAGGGAGAATATAGAGAAATACAAGGCAGAAGAACGTGACTGTTCTGTTTGGTTTAGTTTGTTTTTTTAAAGTAGAGGCTTCAACAGGTTTTTTATGTCATTGGCATATATTCATTGCATAGTGATGGGTTTCATAGAAATTTTCAAACAGGTATATATGTCATATGCTTTGACCATATTCATCCCCATACCCGCCCCTTTATTCCCCCAGTCTCTCTTCATTATCATATGTATACAAAAATTGTTTTTCTACATAAAATCTAGGATCCACAAATGATAGAAAACGTGATATTTGTCTGAGTGTGGCTTATTTCACTTAATATCGTGATCTCTAGGTACATTCGTTTTGTTTTGTTTTGTTTTGAGACAAGATCTCCTTGTAGCCCCCAGCTGGCCTGGAACTATGTAGACCAGGCTGGCCTTGAACTCACAGTGATCCACCTGCCTCTGCCTCCCGAGTGCTGGAATTAAAGGCGTGCACAACCATGCCCTGCCAGTATTCCGTTTTTATTGCACCAGGT